CCCCTTTTTTAAAGGAATTTTATGCGTTTGACAAACCGCTCATCCGATAACTAGAATTGCTCAGGAGCTCAAGGATTGCAGTATTGTCACCAATGATCTATTGTCTCTAACCGAAAAATCCTTCCAGCTATCTGAAGTTGTCAAACCTACTGCCGACACCAATTTCTCTGAAGAAGCTAGAGCTGAAATGGACGGATTAGAGCAGTGTTTTTATAAAGAGGTACAAGTGTCCTCAAGAAATAAGAAAAAACAAGTGAGTACTAGGTTCGGGGTCCGTGAATGAGCCAAGTACAATCGTTTCCAAGACGACTGTTGTAGGCTAAAAAGGAGGAAGCTCTTCGCCGAATGCAAGAGGCCATGGAGAGAGATCGTGAAAACGCTGCAACTTCACTGCGAGTGACAGAGATGACTGCAATTCAGAAGGTGTGTGTCTTCATTTTGAGAGGGGCACTGCTACAATTTAGTTCTTCGAAACCCCATCATACAGTGTTTTATGGACAGGAGAAACGAATAACCTGAAGTCTTTTCAGGAAGCTTTGGTGCTTTAGCGTTCTACTTTGAATCTCAACCTTTTAGTTTGTATATCAAGATCGAAAGACTTGATTAATTTTTTTTAAAGATTTTGGATGAACGTGGACTCAGTTTAGTCGATATTGCCCCAGATGGAGATTGTCTCTACAATGCTATAGCTTATCAGCTATCACGTGTGAAAGGTTATGAACAGGTCGGTTATGTTCATGTATATTAGGCACCTTCCTTTACTTTTTGCTTTTCGCCTACGTGTTCGGGAAACATAGTTTGACTCTCTCATCAGTTTCGTTAGAGTAGAAGTAGGAAAACTTTCTTTTTTAGGTCACTGGTAAGGATATGCGACGCCGAGCTGCAAAATACATGCGAGAAAACAAGAGTGACTTTGTGCCATTTTTAACTAATGTAATGGCTTAATTTTACCCAACATGTAAGCATTAAAGTGTAACATTATTCTACAGGAAAGTGATGAACCGCTGGACGAGTTCGAGTTTGAAAAATACTGCTGTGGAGTAGAAAATGAGAGCAAAGATGGCGGCGTGTGGGGAGGGGAACCAGAACTAAATGCGCTTAGTTGTAGTCTAGAAAGGAGTATAGAGGTATTTTTCATAGGCAATAATCGACTACATGAAGTTAGCGTTTTCATTCAGCTTATTCAACCAGCTGGGCCTCCAGTGATCTTTGGTGAAGATTATAAAAATACGAAACCTTTAATAATCGTCTATCATCGACATGCTTATCAATTAGGAGCACATTACAATTCAACTAGTGTTAAGACGATATCTTAGTGGATAGGTATGCATCACTCTGTTCACTACTTCACATTATTTGTACTAATATCTAAATTATCTTCCACAATAAAATGTTTTATAAAAAAGGAGCAATTCTCTTTTGAAAATGATATTCCTTTATTCAATCAAAATTAAATTACACACCTTGAGATCACAGTTTATTCACATTTC